AGTAAAAAATGTTTTGCCAGCCTATTTCTGATATATAAATTTGTTTTGCCTGTTTATATTTAGCACAAAAACACTCTTTTGCAGTGCGTAAAGATATGGCCTCTAGTCATAAACTACTAAGGTACACATGGTTGCTGTTCTTTTACACCAAAGCCTGCACGAATTTGGACGCTGACAAGAATCCAAACTTGTGAGTTTTTATCGGCTAAGTAACTTACACTGAGCCCCCCAAAGCAGGTTGGGAAGGTGTCCTTCAGAAGCGTAAAGGCCGTGCAATAGCCTTGGGCTGACTGCGAATTATGAATTAATACCGCGATGGGTACGGCACTTGCATTCGTGGCTGCCAGAAGAACAGTCACGGTGCATCGTGATGTGTCACACAATGATGTCGAATCAATAAAAATAATTTCTTTTACTGCATTTAACAGCTGTGCTCGTCTCGTGATCGGTGTCGCAACCAAGACCACCCAGTACTGGCCATCCTCTGAGCGGCCCAGTTTGACATCAACACCTGCAACGAGTAAAGAAATGCAAAAATGTTTTTGAAAGGGATCAAATTTGAAGAAAAAGAAACAACACTGCAACATATTCTGTACACAGAAGTAAAAACATGTATTGGAGCATGGATCTGTGTGTCGATAGGAACTGAACCCAAAGCTATATGTTATCATATTTATGTGCACAAGAAAAGAGTAGTGATTTCAGTTTGTTAGTGCTGAACAAAGCAAGGCCATAAATCAAACTTTGTGACGTAAATTTATAGATCCAAAGTACTAAACTCATCATGTGTAATCATGAAGCCACAGCCTACATTAGTGACAGTTGACAATTGTATTGCCTGTGAGGACCAGCTATTATGTTCGGTAACTCTAACTGAAATCTGTAATAAGCTGCCTATTGTGAGGCATAAATGTGTGTGATATAACTTTTGTGAGAAGTTGAGAAAATTTTATGACTGTTTTTAAGCTTGCAGCATCCATACTATCATTGTTCTAAAAAAATATATAGAAAGGAACCAGGCATTCACAACACATGTAGCTCAGTCACAGTAAAAGCTGGAAAAGCAGCCTTTCTAGACCCCGTTCTAATCTCTCTTGGTGTAACTACCAGTGAACTTACAGGGTACTTATTATGCCATAGATCATTATAATTTTTGTCAATTAGGAAAGCACCCACTGTGCAGTTATTCAATATTTTACAAAGAAGTGAGGTGCCCACTACATATCTTTGAAGCATTATGTGCTATTTGTTTGTGCTATGGCAAATGATACTGAACAATTACCACCAAGCAACATCGTGATAGTTGGGAAAACTTATGCAGTTCGCATAGCGTGACTCATGATTGTTATTGTACTCTTTCACCATGCTATTTCACTCCTGTAAATGCACTTCACTGCTCAACATGACGCCTCTATAGGGTCATTCTACAAAAAATTCTTTATTCTAGCACTGGTGCTCTATGGTAAAATACCAGCCTGCCACATCCTTTCCTGGGGTCGAAAGCATCAAATTTTAACAGCAAGGTACTATTGCTGCAGTCAGAGCAGGCAAGTCACTAAGTATCTGTGGATGTAACCTGTGGATGATGCAATCGCACTTTTTACGGTGTGCCGCAGCTTCGTAGTGTAATCGAAATGGTTACCACAGTGGCTTATAAAAGAGCTGTATCAGGGAATCGCACACTATGAAATGCTAGCGGGCGACTTCCAGAACAATTGTTTTTAAGGCTTTGGGGTGTAAGCATGATCCAACCACCAAGTGTTAAAAAAAAACAAGGAAAGTGAGATGCAGTAGTCAAATGACTGAATGGATCAGTCTTGTGAGTAACCATCTGCAAAAGTATCAGATTCCGCCTTTTGCTAAGATACAAATGTGGTTACAGAATACTGAGTTTTTCTCCAGATACCATGCCTAGTACAGCTAAACCCCTTTATAAGTGGCATTCTCCTGGCAGCAATTCTTGTCTCTTAATACAGATTACCACGTATGCATTTTTCCTACCAATCCGTATTTTACTCTAAGCACACTGGTGTTTCTTATACCCATTTGTCTCTTATATCAGTGTCTCTTATAAAAGGTTTCAACTATAGTACTCTTTATCTACTAAAACACTGTCTTATTCTTACATAATGGAGGTAATCACATGACGTCATATGCAAGAGGCCCTAGCATGTAAGTCGCCATATTTGTGCTTTCGCGCATAAACATCGTCATTCCACAACCAAAGTTCTCGGCAGTGTGTGTTCTGCTAATATTTTCATAAGAAAATGGGTTAGTGATGTGTACCGCCACAAAATAACACGCTGTCATAACCCAGATCACTGAGAGACCAGGGCTACGGCAGCGCACGCACAGGTGCTGCCTGCCAGGACGAGCTCATTGAATACCTCTTATCAAGACTAGGTAGTTGAGAATGCTGTCTGCAGAGTAATTTTGCAGAAGATGGTCCTCACTCTAAGGGTGCCTGCACAACAATTACAGATACTAATGACTTATGGGTGAATAGCAGGTCATTTGCTTCATGGGCGTTAGACCTGTGCATGTTGCCTCAATGCTTCCGATGAAAATAGGGCAGAAAGAAGTAATGACCGCATGAAGAGGTACAGCAAGAGGTACAGCAACTAATACATGACTGAAGCACAGTCAATGTAAAGAATTCTTTTTTACATTGGTATTCAAGCAAGCATCTGAAAAAAGGTTGAGTGAGGGAGAATACAGGAAGACATATTTTTTGAAGACTTGAATCGGCTGAATAAATAACTAGTTATGAAAATATTGATTTGTATTACCTTTGTATTTACTTCAATGAAAAATTGTGTGTTACATTGGGCTGCAGGGGCTCCACATTCATTCATTTGACGACAACTTTTTATGGTATCATTTTGCAAAGTTGTATGCCGATGCGAGCTAGAATCTCATCCACACCATGTAAATGCTGGAATTAAGCACTCCAGGGTGCAGCTGTAGCGTGCTGTGACCATTGAACTGTTGTTGACCCAAATGTTTGGTGACAAGCCATTAATAGCCCACATATAGTTCCAAATGCTAACTGTACAGCATTGATGAGTAATAGTCAGAGGAGCACCACCTGCAACTCTGTAACCTGAGGTGCAGTTAGCCCAAGAGATAGTTGGAAAAGCTTGTATGGTACTCAGTTGTTTTGTGAAAATGAAGCTCTGGGATGTGGTACTCATTTTCTGTTTTGCCACAAATTTATTATCCAGTGTTCTTAGCAATTTACAAATTAGTAATTTAAGCTGGAAGTGAAAATTATAGAGCAAAATAAACAGTCAGAACTTGCTCCACTTTTTTCATCTATTCGTCACTTGAAACTTTCATAAACAGGCAAGCATATTTACTAAGTGACACCTAGTATGCAATTAATATAGAGGCATGTTGGAGTATTCAAACCGTTTTCACTGTGGGACTGAATGATAGTTTTTTCATAAAGAGATCTCTGTGCACTGATTTTATGTGCTTCTCAATTTCGTTGCAAGCAAAATTATGGCATGTCATCCTGCATCGACTACACATTGTTACAGCACCCTGGTGATGACATTATGACCCTTTACGAAAGAAAGTAGCTCTGTTCGTCATTACTCTATGCTGAACTTTTTTGCTAGCATTGGGTGTCATCTATAGCTTGTGAGTAGTGGCAATAATGGTGCTTCTACTATATGCAATTGCGTGATATATGACTTTTCATTCTAGGAACTTGTATGGATTCCCTTTGAAACATTGGCCACAATATTACATGAATGTCTCATGTTAATATTTTAAACTTTATTGAACTGTTATAAGATTGGATGTATTATTTTTTGTGACTGAAAACGCTATGTGTGGTACCTCTACAGCTCTCTTAATGCTTTAGCAGTGTCCAAAATCTGTGAATCAAGTGCTGCACTGACACAACATTTTAGAAAATGGGTTTCAAGATCTGTTGTAACTAAAAGTCTTCTAAAAAATGCATGCAAATTAGGGCTTAGGATTTTAATAGCCTTTATTATTGCAATAATAATATTAATAATAATAATAATAATAATAATAATAATAATAATAATAATATAATAATAATAATAATAATAATAATAATAATAATAATAATAATAATAATATGTTTTATGTCTCAAAACCACGATATCATGACACTATTTACGGAGACAACCATAATTTTGCCCACCTGGCGTTCTTAAACACACCTAAATCTAAGAAGACAGGTTTCTAGCATCTTGGCTCCATTGAAATGCAACTGCCCCCGCCAGGATTCAATTCTGCGACCTTTGGGTTGGCAGTCAAGCACCATAACCACTAGACAGCTGTAGCAAGTATGGAACGTATGGTGTAAGTGCAGTGCTGTAATAGTCAACTCACCATGTTTAGCATAGAGTGGCATCTTCTCAGCTATTTTTAAGAGGGGGTCTACATCCTTACCAAAGTTTTTTTTCTCTCCAGAGCCTGTGCCAGTAGTATATGGCAGGAGGCAATGGGTTCACTGCAGAGTTGGCAACGAGAGCATACCCATCTTCTTGCACAAGCAGTTTGCTCTCGTGAAGCCTGATGGCTTCAGCTGGTGACATGCCGTTGTCAAAGTATGCCGAAAAGGTCTCTCTGGTCTGCATTGTTGGAGTAAGACGAGAAAGTGCGTCTGCTGCTGCAGTGCTGTGGCTGTGGTTTTTGTGATGAAAGAGCTTTATCACAGCTGGCAGTGGCTTTTCCCCACGTAAAAAAGCATCATTACGTTTTGTATTTCTGTTGACCTTCTTGATTTTGAGGTCAATCTTTGCTGGACAGTGTGCTGCAGCCTCACCACATGATTTTTTCCCGCTTTGCCTCTTTGCAGCGCCATACTTTGTGGAACACCATCCTGCAAAGTAGTATGAATTTAGAATTTCAGTGTCAGCAACGAAAGGGGTCTGCTTTGCCTGCAAATGCCATTTGATCAAAGAAAAAAATACACCAGTTACTTGAGCACTTACTAGGTACCTGCACAAATCTCCTTGCAGTGCATTTCACCCTTTTAGACGCTTTGTACACAATTGTGTACATCACTTGTTTTTGCTAGTTGTGTCAACTAGGGGCTAAAAAAGTGCAAGATACAATGAAGTTTAGTTGAAATAATAAACCTCCTCCCTAATAAACGTGTCTTTAACTTCAGTTTTCACACTACTGTTGCATATAATCACTTTTCCAGAAGCACTACCATAGTCGACGAGTTATTCAATGCAGCGCTTCACTGGAGCCACTTCGAAATATCTTTTTTTTCTTTTCTCAGTATCGCTAAAATGAGAAACCAATATCCAGTATATATCTAGTCTGAGATTCCATTCTATATATGCAAGAATCAAATATGAATGTCTTTAGAATAAGTGGATGTTTCATAAAAGCTCAATTTCAATTAACTGCTATGAAATGCCTAAATCTATCTATTATAAAATTATTGTTGTTGCAATAGAATATAGACAGCCTTGAAATCATGTGACAATTTGACACATTTACAGGCAGTTCTTCACAGGTGGCATCTGAAAGGATTAACTCAACAAACCTGCCAAAAATGCACTCTATAAATTCACTTCATGCATGACCGACGCACATTTAAGACATTTTCAGCTTGTAGGTTAGAGTTTGACGACAGTTCAGATGGTGAGGAAACATGATAATAAAGTTCCAGTCACTCAACAAGTTTAGGCGAAAACAAATGAGAGACGTTTCGGGACTAGTACAGGTTCTTAGTAGTAATCAAGGGGCTCTTACAGATCTCAGGGTGTCTCTCGTGAGTTTTCATTTTCTTTTGTTCAGTGACTGCATTGTCATCATTAGGATAAATAATTCACGGAAAATGCCAATCCTGCTGCAAAGCTACTAGCTACCGTGGACACATCTTAGAGGCTTGCCACAACACTTGAAATTTGAACAAGAGATCACAGTTGTAAAGCCTGCACAAACTCTGCATTTGAATTTATCGTGACCATCAGCTCTTATTTGTGCAAGTTGGAACTTTTTGGTAAACATTTGATGCTCTCACAATTCCAAGAAAAGGGGATTCAATCAATTAGTTTTCTGGCACAGTAATTGGTGAGTGAGACAATTTTACTAAATATTTTGCTAATGAATTGCTTTTGTATTAGCCAAACCGGGGGGAGTCGAGAGACACTCTCACAATAGCTTCCTGGAATCGGCACAAAGTTAAAAGTTGGTATTGGGGATCTAAGCTAGTCACTGCAGTCTCTACTGTGCCTGTAGTTCATCTGGGGGGTGCGGGGGGGGGGAGGGGGGTAATACAACTTTTTTCTCAACTATTTCACAGTCCCAGAATACATGCTTTGAGGTGGTTCCTCTATATTTATAGAAGATACGTTTTGCCTCGCGGATGTAATTGCGAAAACTTAAGGCCATGTTGTACCAGGTTTGTTAAATTTTTCGTTCTTTTTTGTAGTGTTTCTGAGAAAAAGAAAAATGCACTCTATTCTGCCCCCCCCCCCATGCGAGGACACTTGTAAGCGCATTAAGTTTTGGTTTGAAGGAAACTCCGGTGAATCACCTGAAGGGTGTCCAGTTTGCGGCTAGGCGGTGGGAATGCGCGTTTCGTTATTTCTATATATTTGAGAAATGTCACTGAATGAGCGGAGTCTAGCCCTCTCGTACCGATCATCTCCTCGTTGTCCACAACCATTGAGACGGCGCATCGTTGGACATTATCCGCAAAACATGAAGTTTTATCACCAGAGACGACTTAAGTTATTTTTGAAGTTAAAACATCATTTTTTGCATTACCTTTCACACTTTGCTGTTGGCTTGACGAAGTCTACAACCCATGACGTATTCGTCTTCAAGCCGTAGTCTTCTACCCAGCTGCAGGCGTGACGTTCATCGGTGATGTTTGCTCGAAGCACGTCGACGTCAGGTGATGAGCTCTCATTGTCTTTGACGCATTCGATCGCGCTGTGCGCCGATGTTTCACATGCGCTGCTTTCACTAGCCATAGCCGTACAACACACTGCGATCGCGGCGATCACGTCTCGAAACACGTGGTCACCAGAGCATTCCGCGCCGCTAAGTTAAAAAAAAGGGGGGGGGGGAGGCGAGTAGTTCGTTACAAAAGCGATCGCGTCGAGCGACAAGGCGAGGGCTTAAGACACTGGCGGCACCAAATATACTTAAAAGCCAAGCGTGTTCACTGTAAAAAAAAATCGCACAGTAGGACACAACGGCAGATCACTTCTTGCTGAAGGGCCAAGGCCGCAAAAAGGCGCAGGCGTCAACACAAATGTTCACTGAATTAAAAAAAAATTCACGCGCACAAAAAATGCACACTAGACCACAAATTAGTCCAACGCCACGCCAAGCGCCTCTTCCTCAGTCAACGCGAGAGCGGTCCACGGTGCACAGGCGGAGACGAAAGTGCCACGGGCATTGAACAAAACAGCGCAAGCCTTTTCTTCCCATCTGCGCTGAAAGGAACGGCCATTAGGGATTCGTTTAGGGCGCACTCCGAGAACGAGAGTATTTCGTCATGAGGCGCGGCGGCCGTTGCTAGGCGCACGTCGCGGCGGCGTCCCTGCGAGAGTGTCACCAATAGCGCGCCGCTGCGGCTGCCATGCGTTGAACCTACTGCAGATTACAAATGCGCGGCCGGGCACGAAGTGCGCAGACCGGGATGCTCCGAAGACAGGTTGATTTGAGGACCAGAACAGTCCCACCGCATGATCCTCGGGCAGCAGAGGCGTCGCGTCCGGCCATGGCCTAACAGCAGATGGTGGGAACGGGGTACGGGGGCCGGAAGGCTCCAGTAGCTGCAAACTCCAGAGTCCGAGAAACTGCACCAGGAAGAAGCGAGGAACGTTAGCACGGGCCATCGTTAGCGTGCTGCCGGACCCACTTTTTCAGGAAACTACTGACTTGAATTTGTCTCACTTTTTTCAGGAAACTACTGACTTGAATTTGATGGAATTTTTTGCATACTATTTTTGGTAGTTTATATCAATATACCACAGCCATTTCGTACATGCCAATCTCAAGTATATAACTCAAGTTACAAAGGATTATGTTGAACGTTGTTTGTAACTGTTATGTCCGGTGTTTTCGTCGGCCCATAGACGTACGCGTTGGTCGCGGTAGTCCAAAAAGCTCAGACAGCCTCGAACGGTTAAAAACAAGTTTATTCCTGTTCGGATGGAGGCGGCGGCCGAACTGTCGTGGGAAACGACGGTGGCTCGTTTGCGCCGAGCGGGGGAAGGGGAGGAGTCAACATCTGGAAGCAGTTTCAGCAACCAGTCCTTCGCGGGTTCGGAGCACAGGGGTGCTTGGAACACAACATCTCCTCCCTCCTTAGCTTGTCGCTTGGAAGCGATCTGGGGGCCGCCGTGGACGCGTAGACGCTCTGGACGCACTAGGAAGAGAAGCCTCCGCTCGCTGGGTGTCGTTTCTTTTCTGTTCAGGGCCGGCGGGCGGCGGCGCCGATTTATCTGGTGCGAGATGCCAGGCTAAGTGGAACGAAACTTCCGTCGAGGTGGCTGCTTGAATGGGAGGTTCCCTTGGCAAATTACCTGAACGGCGTAGCTGATTAAGGTGGCGGCGTGTGGCCTTTCCACCAATGTCGACGAGCCATGACCGCAAACCTATGCGTTTGAGTGCCGTCGCTTCAATCCAAGGTGAATCAATTCAATCCAATCATAAGCAAAGGTGAATCAGTAAGTAATATTTTCCAATCACAACGCATTCTCTCGGTTCCGATGTTGCGTGACTACAAAATTGCTGTTTCAGTAAATAACATAATTAATAGAAATTCACCTTTGCCTGCTGATCTTTTTTCAATTCCTAAACGCAATACGCGACATGCTTCGAATGGTAATTTCAATCTGCCCAAATGTTTTTAATGTTTACGGAGAAAGACTGATACAGTTTAGTGGAACAAAAATATGGAACACGGTCCCCCTAGAGATTAAAAACGGCACGTAATTTCAGCATGGCATGTAAATCATTTTTTCTGTGGAGTCAAGACATGTAAGCATGTGTGTGTTTGATTAAATTTTCATTGTATTTTTTTAATAAGTGCCTATGTATAGAAACTAGCTGCAAGCTAATAAGTATGCATATCTGCAAGAAAAAAATGTATTACTGTGTTATCTGTATCATATGATTGTTTTTTTATGTTGTTACCTCAGAGCTGACCTGTACACTTTTTTATGTTGCACATTGTATTGGACCGTCCACTAGCCACTTTAGGCTATCGGTCCAAATAATCCCTGTAATTGCATATATCTATTTATGAAAACAAAGCTTCATTGATTGATTGATTGATTGATTGATTGAATCCAGCCGGGCTTTCTGTGGAACTGGCGGGCGTATATGCGCTGTCCACTTTCAATTCTCCTGCTATGCGGGAGCTTTTCTTCCTCCGACGGTGCTTTCGCTGAGGGCTCCAGGACAATTGCTGTCAGCTGGGTTCTCATTTCTCGTCCGAACATCAAATTCGCTGGCGTTTGGTCAGTAGTGCTTTGAACAGTGTTGTGCTGTCTGAAGAGAAAGCGCGCGATGCGGCGTTGCATTGTCCCAGTCTGGTGTTTAGTAAGGGCGCGCTTTAGCTCAGCCACGTAGCGCTCGGCTTGTCCGTTCGTAGCCGGGTGGTAAGGAGCTGGTGTAACAGACGGGACGCCGTTGTCGCTGTAAAACTTGGGAATCTCCGTGGACACAAACGGAGTGCCGTTGTCCGAGAGCACCTTGCGCGGTAGGCCAAACGTTGCAAACTGTAGCCATTTGTTTTACCTCCAGCCACTTGGTGTATGCGTCTACAACCACCAGGAACGAACACCCTTCAATAGGTCCAGCAAAATCAAAGTGCAGGGTGTGCCAAGGCGTGTCTGGTCTTTCCCATTCAGGAATAGGGGCTCTTGGCGGGATTCTGTGGTTGCATTGGCAAGGCTGGCAACCGTGAACTGTTAATTCTATAGCATGGTCGATACCAGGCCACCACATATAACTTCTGGCGCACTTTTTCATGGCAACAATGCCTCGATGACCTGCGTGGACAAGCGACATTGCCTGTTCGCGAAGTGCCACTAGAATTACAACTCTTGTTCCCAAGGTGACGTAACCGCGATGAGCGCTCAACTCCGCAGCTCGCTTGCGGTAAGCGTTGAAGTGTTCACCCTCTAGCTTCTGCACGTTGCCTTCTTGTATAGCTGCGTAGACTTCCTTCAAGACAGTGCACTCCTGCGTTGATGCTGCTACCGTGTCAGCTGTTAGCGGAGGGTTCGGCAGCGCCTCGAACATGAGTATATCACCCGGCGGGGGTGGTTCATCTATTGTGGTGTCTAGCGGCAGGCGGCTTAGTGCGTCGGCGTTCTGGTGTTTCTTCCCCGTGCGATGTACGAGTTCGTAATCGTACGCCGACATCTTGATGCACCATCGTGTCGTTCGCGGCGACAATGTCTGTGGCATTGGCTTCTGGGGACCCATAATACCCAATAAGGGCCGGTGATCTGTTATGAAAGTCACTTTCCTGCCGGTAATATACTGCCGAAAGGGATCTGCTGCGTAGACGATGGCAAGTCCCTGTTTATCTAGCTGGGAATGATTCCTCTCTGCCTGCGATAGGGTGCGCGAAGCAAAAGCGATCGGGGCTTCCTGTCCCTGGTCGTCAACTTGGGAGAGGACTTCTCCCACTCCCTATGGTGATGCGTCACAGGCTAGCAGTAGGGGTCTCCTTTCGTCGTAGTGTCGCAGAACAGTAGACTTGCGAAGTAGTTGCTTAAGGGCAACAATTGACTCTTGGTGGCGTGGCGACCAAGTCCATGGGACTTCTTTCTGCAGGAGCGGATATAGATCGTTAGCCACTGTAGCTCGATGTTCTAAGAACCGGTCGTAGAACGTCAATAGCCTCAAAAAATGACTGCAGTTCTTGCTTGTTAGTAGGCGCTCGTGCTTCGGTGATTACACGCACTTTGTCTTCAGTGGTATGGATACCCTGCACGTCAATTTGATGTCCAAGAAACTTTACTTCAGGCACCGCAAAAACACATCTTTATTTACTGATGCGCAAATTAGCATTTGCTAGCCTTTCCGAAATGAGCTACAAGCGTTCTGTGTGCTCTTCATTGGAGGCGTTACCGACAATAACATCGTCCAAGTAGACGCAAACACCTGGGATCCCGCTAAGTGTAGACTCCATAAATTTCTGGAAGATTGCTGGCGCTGCAGATATTCCGAATGGTAGCCTTTTAACTTTGTAAAGACCCTTAATAGTGTTTATTGTGAGCAGTTCAGACGTTGATACGCTCACGTTCAGCTGCTGGTAGGCTTGTGTCAAGTCCAAGGTTCTGAAGATTTTTCCACCACGAAGCGTGCTAAAAACCTCTTCCGGTGTCGGCAGTGGGTACGACACTGGCGCCCAACGCGGTATCAAAAGCTCTAGCTTTTGACTGCTCTTAGCGAGTCAGTTCGCCTGCGCGATTCGGGCTCGTCGCAACATGTCTGCTCCGTGGCATGCCGCGTTGCACAAAGAGGCCACCGCCTCTATCGATGGGCGCCCTTCGGCGCTCGCCCGTGTCGTCACCCCTTTTGTGGTGAATACACTCCAACGTGGTAGCTGACGCGCTATCTCGTGCCCCACTGTCGGCCGAGGACCTTGATCCCGGTGCGACAGCCGCTAGCGGTGCCTTAGCACTTGCAAGCGTCAGGGGCGAAACAGCAGCTTCGCCGCTATTTGGCGTGAAGGGTGAGTCCCCATGCGGACAAACCTTGGCTGCTAACCAGGTAAGCGGCGCACCGCGAAGCGGCCGAGCGGGGGAGCTTTCCGAAGGCCACGAGGCCGAGAGCGAACCCGTAACGCCGACTCAAGCGGTTGTTGCTGCGGTCCTGAGTGGGCGCGATACCAGACTCCCCCATTTGGGAGAATGGGAATTGCTTTCGGCAGCGAAGAGCTACTGAAGGCTCAGCAAAGTGATCCGTTTCGAGTCTCGGAGGGACGGAGCGCCGTATACGC